GATTCATGGCTGCTCTATGTGTAAGAGTATACATAGAGCAGATGTATACACATAGAGCAGATTCATGGCTGCTCTATGTGTAAGAGTATGACTATTCTTGTAGGCTTTTCAATGACTGATTTCTCAGAAGTAGATCAAATGATTAACCTGTAACATAATAGATAAGGGTATAAAGCTCATACGACCTAGGTACTCTTCAATGATTTTAAGGAACTTTTGCTCATTTCTTTTTTTTAAGTCACATAATAGTATTGTGGATTATTGGTGTGGTGCTGTAGGATCAGCACTGGACTGCGAACCACAAAGTTGGCAGTTCAAGTCCACCAGCTGCTCCTTGGAAACTCTTATATGAGTTGGATGACTTGATGGCACTAACAAGAGCAACATATTATTGTGGTTATATTTTTGTAAGAAAGTTCTTGTCTTTTCTGATATTACAAAAATGATGAGGTCAGGGAGGTGTCTGACTACCTTTAACTTCGGGGGAAAGAAAATCTTTACCAGCATCAACAGCCCTAGGCTGATTTCTGTGAACAAGAGGTCAAACTTGCCTCCACTCTCCAAACTTTTACCAATTTGGACATTAATTTCCCTCCCTGGACACTCCCTATTTCTCTGGCGGATTTGACAATTCATTGCAGTGTTGGGTTGGATAATTCACAGACAATACTCAAGGCCAGATCAGGAAAGGCACTGGATACACTTCTTTGGTCAAGACAGCCTCTTTTCAGCTATGCCACGACGCAGGCCTGTCTCTGGCCCTCTCCTCGTCAGCCTGGTCTCTGTCCTGCTCAGGTTCTTTAGGCTCTTCTGACTAAGTGCACTCAACTACACCAGTAAACCTCAGCCAGAAGGCAGTCAGCTCTGGCTACATGGTTCAACAAACATATCTCTTCTGACAAGTGTCTGGAAGAGCCCCACCCTGCCAGCCAGACTCCCGCTCACAGGCACTCAACTTTCTTGCTCTGTGGGCTGGGAAGCCCACTGCTATCTCTTGTGCTGATTGCTTGGTCCTTCTGCCTCCATTTCTCTGCTGCTGTGTCTCACTGCCTCTCACCATCTCCAGTGGTGAGAAGCAAACACTCTTTGCTTTCCTGATTGAGGAGATTCTCAGCACAGGGATCCTGTGTACAAAGGACAGACTTCACTCCAGGCTTGTATTTTTTGGTGGTTGGTGGAGACCCCCCTTTTCACCTCTGGGATGCTTCATTTTGAAAGTCCTCGCATGGCATCATGACAAGCATTTATCTGCAATGTCAGCCGTTCAAATTCACCACCAATTCACATGTATTGAAAACCCTATACATGGTTGCTATGAATCAGAACTTACTCTACGGCATCTAACAACAATAACAACAGGATGGCAAAACTGACCAATCACTATGTTACGGTTCCATACACCTTATTTGCATGGTCTCATCCCTACTAGGGAGCCCTGATGTGGCTGTGTAAGGTAAGCACTGGGCTGCTAATCACAAGGCTGACCCTATTATATATAGTGTCAAAGGCTGTAAACCTTTATGGGAACAGGAAGCGTCATCTTTCTCCCACAAAGCCACCGACCTTGCGGTTAGCAGCCCAGTTCATCATACACTGCTATCAGGGCTCCTTCTGTCTATAGCATAACCTGTTTTTTCCTCACAATTTTATCCTATTGACTTAATATCCCTACTTAAGTAGGTAGTGACTATGCGCCAAGAAGTATTAGACTTTAATCTGTGCTGTCTACTGAAGTAGCTGTCTAATTTAAATTTAAACTTTAAAATTAAATAAATTCAGTTGCACTAGTCACATTCCAAGTGCTCAGTAGGCACATGTGGCTAATGGCTACCATGCTAGAAAATACTGATAAAGCACATTGCCATCATATGAGAAACTTTATCAGGCAGAACTGTGTCAAATTCTCAAAGTTTGATTTTCATAATAAAAACATTTTAAGTTTTTCTTTTGTTTGCCACTTATCTCTATGTTGCAGTTTTATCACATACATTTTTTAGAAAAAAATATATGTAAACTCTGAAATTATGGAAGTTTTTGTTTAATATGCTATTTTCAGATTATTGAAGGCAAAGGAGAGTTCAGTGTTCCAAGCTGCTATGGAAATATTAAAAATGATAACGGTGGTTCTAGCCTTACTTTTGAGCATCCTTTAGATGATGTGAATGTAGTTGATTTGAAATGGATCCATGACTTTGTGTTAAAGTCTCTGGAACTTTTATATCAAATGGAGAAATGGGAAACATTAGTATCTCTGGCCATTCAGTTCAATGCAATTTCACAGTAAGTACTGCTATAAGGGCAATTTAAAGTAACAGTCTTCACTGAGAAAAACAAAGCCAAATGTATTATAAACTAATCTTTGACTTATATTGTGTTTGTTATTTTAGTGAGAGGTACACAGAACAAGTGACACCATTACTGGTGTATGCTCAGCGCCAGCTTCTTCTAAGAATCCAGACCTTCGATGGCCCAGATAGTAGCCAGCAACCTTGTGGAAGGTATGAGGCCGATAATGCAGAGAAGGTAAGTCTCTGGCTGTATCATGCATGCAGTGATGCTGTCTGAAAGAGTACAAACATTATGCATCAGATAACTGATATATTATCACTACCTCAGGCAGTAATCATCACAATGTTGTTGTTAAGTGTGCTCTTGAATAGGTTCTAATGAATATCGACCCTGTATAAGGGTTCCAAGGAGTGGCTGATAGGTTTGAACCGTGGACCTTGTGGTTACCAGTCCAGTGCTTATCCTACAGTGCCACTCCAGGACCCCATAAACAAACTTCATTGAGTGTTTGCTATGTGCTAGTATTTTTCAGGTATTCTGTTGTGGTTGTTAAGTGCCATTGAGTTGATTCCAATTTATAGCGACCCTGTATAGGATTTCCAAGGGGTGCCTGGTGAGTTTAAACAGAAATTGCAGTCCGGTGCTTTATCCGGTGCTTTAGCCCATAGCTCCATGACAGGACTCTAGGTATGTTGTTGTTAATTGTTAATTGTTTCGATTCGAGTTGGTTCTGACTCATAACGACCCTATGTAGGGTTTCCAAGGAGCAGCTGGTGGATTTGAACTGCAGACTCTGTGGTTTGCAGTCCAATGCTGGTCCCACAGAACCACACCAGGAGTCTAGGTAGAGAGGACATAAAATTAAGCTCTTGCCCACAAATTGCTCATAGTCACGTCAGGTCTGGTTTCTCCATTGGGGGCAGTGGGGAGAGTGCTTCATGTCCATGATACTTTCGGAGGCCCCTAAAAAATACTTTAATTTCTTTTAGAAAGTCAGAAGAAAAACTGTGCTTTTTGGGTCAGAGAAACTGTCCGAAGTGGTGGACATATAATCAGTTATGTTTGTGTGATACTGATTCGACTCCAACTCCTAGCCACCCTGTAAGACAGAGTGAAACTGCCCCTACTGTTCTCTAGGTCGGCAGTTGAGCGCTTAACCATCGCACCACCAGGGCTTCTTTGAATATACGATATGTGTTATATATTTTATAGTATAATTATACATTGTGATTATGTTTTATAAATAGATCATAATAGGAGGAGGTGTCAAGAAGTTGTAGAAAATGAAAATTAAAAAAATAATGAGAAATTTCTGCAAACATTTTGAAGCCCCCTCGTATATTATGTATTAGAACAACACCCTCATAAAATATAATTTTTGTTTTTATTTCTTAATGGAAGAAGAGGGCTATGAAAACAAGTGCCTAGGTGAATGTTTGGTTGAATAACTGGGCGAAGGTTTGTGTGCCATAGAATGGCAATGGTCTTCCCTTGGGCCACAGTTTATCCTCACCAAAACACTGCCTCCATCTTCTCATAGATGTTTAATACACATGTGAAACTTAACATAGCTCAAACAAACCTGGGTCTCCCCCAATCTTCCTCATCTCAGTGAATGGCAACTCAATCCTTGCAGCTGTTTAGCTCAGACACTTCTGAGACATCTCTGGCTTTTTCCTTGACCCTTAAACTGTGTCTGTCAAACTGGCTTCATTCAACTCCTGTGACCAGAACTGCCTTCAAATTTTAGCCTGTCCCAGGTGGTGAAGAAAGTTAATGTGCTCACCTCCTAATCAAAAGGTTGGAGGTTTGTGTCTACCCAGAGGTGTCTCATAAAAAAAACACAAAAACCTGGCAACTTATTTCTGAATGAAAATACTGTGGGGCACAGTTCTGTTATGACACATACAGGGTCATTATGAGTTTAAATTGAAGGCAACTTTTTTCTTATCCAAGTCATCATTACGTTTTCTTGGATTTTAGCAATACCCTCCTTCCTAGTTAGGCATCATCTTTTGTTGTTGTTGCTAAATATTTTGTTGTGAATTGACTGAATGTTTACTGAACAGATCATCAGTTTACATCCAACAAACCACACGAATGTATTTGCAGCAGGATAAATTACCATGTACAAACATCCTCTGTGAAAGTTTTGTATATGTGTGGGTATACTCTCCTCTCTCTACCATACCCATTCAGCCTTTGTATCTGTCCATGGAGCTACCTGGAGAACACTGTTTTAGCAGAGTTGTGATATAACACTATTTACCTCTGTCCCCTTTAACTCTTGCATTCCTCTTGTGTCTTCAACTGTCTTAATCATTCTTCTGCCAATCTTTCCCTTTTGTATATTGCCTTCTCCATCACCCAAGTTAACACTTGTTTACCCTCTAGCCAGTAAATGACTCTGCTTTCCCTCCGACCCCTGTCAGCCATCAAATAATATTTCTTTTAGTATGAAAACCTTTTCTTGAGTTTTGACAGTAGTGGTCTTCCAGAGTATTTGTCCTTTTATGATTAAGTTAATTTCACTAAGCATAATGTCCTCCAGGTTGATCCATGTTATGAGATGTTTCACAGATGCATCGTTATTCTTCAGTGTTGCATAGTAGTCCATTGTGCGTATGTACCAAAGTTTGTTTATCCATTATTCCACTGATGGACACTTAGTGTGTCTCTATAGTTTTGCTGTTGTGACTAGTGCTGAGATGAATGTGGGTGTGCATATACTAATATCATGGCTTTTATTTCTTGGGGATTTATGCCAAGTAGAGGATTGTTGAATCATATGGTATTCCTATTTCCAGCTCTTTTTTGGAAGCACCATACCATTTTCCACAGTGGTCGCACCATTTTACAGTACAAACAGTAATGCTGGATCATCCTAGTCTCTTCACACCCTTACCAGCATTTGTTGCTTTTATTAAATTTGCTAGTAATGATGGGTTGAGATGATATCTCATTGTTGTTCTGTTTTGCATTTCTCAAACAGAGTCCTGGTGTGATGGTATAGAATGAGCACTGTACTGTTAACTTCCAGGTTAGTTGTTCAAACTCAACAGTTGCGCCTCTCAAATCCTAGAGAGGGTAGTGGTCTTCTACATGAGTAGAAGTCAGAATGAATATGAGTCGGAATTGACTCAATGGTACTTAACAATAACAACAAAGGGTTTCTGGTATGTTGCTGTATGATAAACACTGGACTTCTAACCACATACTCAGAGGTTCAGTCCCACCAGCCACTCCTTTGAAACCCTATTCAGTGTTGCTGTGGGTTGGAACAGACTTGATAACACTTAATAGCCACAATGGCTAATGATTAAGAACATTTCTTCAAATGTTTGAAATGTCTGTTTATCCTCTTACCATTTTTTATTTGGGTTATTGATTTTTTTCTTTTTTTAGAAGTTAGTCTATTATCTGATAGGTCATTGCAAAAAAATTTTTTCCCAGCCTGGGCTTTCTTATTACTCTTTTGGTGAAATCTTTTGATACACTTAAGTGTCTAATTTTTAAGAGGTCCCAGTCTTCTATTTTGCCTTCTGCAGCTTATGTGTTTTTAATCATGTTTGATAGTGGACTTATGCCTTGTATCAGTGGCCCCAATTTGTCCCTACTTTTTCAGTGAGGATCTTTATAGTTCTAGGGTTTGCATTTGGATCTTCAATCCATGTTGAGTTTGTGTGGTGTGCGATATGGGTCTTGCTTCATTTTTCTGCAAATGGATTTCCAGTTTTGCTAGTACCATCTGTAGAAGAGACTATGTCTTACCTGTTCAATGTGTTTTGGCTGTTGATCAAAGTTCAGCTGATGGTATGTGGATGAATTTACTTCTGGGTTCTCAGTTCTGTTCCATTAATCGATGTATATTTTATTGTACTAGTACCAGGTTGTATTGACCTCTGTGACCATGCTGTAGAGTTTGAGATCAGGAAGTGAAAACTCTTCTTAAGTAATGTTTTGTTTATCCAAGGTCTCTTTTCTTTCCACATAAAGTTAGTGATCAGTTTTTTCCATCTCTTTAAAGGATTATGTTGGAATCTGGATTGGGATTACTTTGTGTAATTTTTGAAATTTTCACAATGTTAAATCTTCTTATCCATGGAAATGGATATTCATCCATTTTTACAAGTTTCTTTTGGTTTTTTATGTTTTATATTTTTCTTTATATAGGTCTTTTGTTTCTCTGGTTGGATTTATTCCTAAATATTTCATCTTTTGGGTGGTTATTGTAAATGGCATTGTTTTCCTGATTTCTTTTTCAGAGTTCTCTTATTAGTGTAAAGGAATCTGACTGATTTTTGTTTGTTGATCTTATACCCTGCCACTATGCTGAATCTTTCAATGAGTTCCAATAGTTTTCTTGCTATCTTTGGGAATTTCTATGCATAGTATCATATCATCTTCAAATATAGAGATTTTTACTTCTTCTTTGCCAATTTAGATGTCTTTAATTTCCCTTTCTTGCCTTATGCTGTTATTGTTGTTAATTGTCATGGAGTGGTTTCCAACTAATAGTGACCCTATTATATAGGGTTTCCAAGGAACAGCTGGTGGGTTTGATCTGCTCACCTGTGGTTAGCAGTCCAGTGCTTATCCTAAAGTGCCACACCAGGACTCATTATAGCTCTGGCTAAAACTTCCAGCACAATATTGAATAGGAGTGGTAATAAAGGGCATCCTTTTCTGGTTCCTGTTTGCAAAAGAATCAGAGATATTTTGAGAGTAATATTGATGGATTTGTATATATATGTTGACTGTTGGATTTTTATATGCGTCCTTAATTATGTTGAGGAATTTCCCTTCTATTCCTATTTTGTTGAGTGTTTTCCATCAGGAATGTTAAATGCCTTCTGTGCATCAGTTGGTATGATCATGTGGTTCTTTTCCCTTATTTATTTATGTGGTGGATTACATTAATTGTTTCTCTAGTATTGAATAATGCTTGCATCCCTGGTATGAATCCCACTTGACCATAATGTATTATTTTTTGATATGTTGTTGAATTCTGTTGGCTAGGATTTTGTTGTAAAAGTATAGACCAATATTCATAAGGGATATTGGACTCTATTTTTCCTTTTTAGTGATGTCTTTCCATCCTCTTTGTTCTGGAATAGTTTGAGTAGAATTGGCATCAGTTCTTCTCTGAATACTTGGTAGATTTTTTCCAATAAAATTGTCTGAGCCCAGATTTTTTTTATTATTGGGAGATTTTTAATGACTATTAATTTCTT